AGTGTCAGTATTCCCAGAGAGACCTCAGATGTACGGTGCCATCACTTAAATCCATAAAGATGTGGATAGGAAGCCCTTCTTTAAAAGGGAACCCTCCTCTTCCAGCTAGCAAATGTCAAGTGACTCTCCTTGATTTATTCAGCACCTAGCACAGCTTCTAGACTTTAACAGGCCTGATAGCTGTCTGAGCACAACCTGCACTCTTGACTTCGCTGCTTTAATGTGAAACTTTCTAAGTAGCTGCTATTCCCACTGCCATCATACTGCCCTAATTATGTACATAACTACCACGCTAAGACCACTGCTAAGAAAAAAACCCCAAACAAAAAGCCAGCCCAGCCTAAACCAAAACTACCCATTACCTCATCTCTGAATCCTACAACAGGTTAGGCGAGAAGGGATCTGTGGAGGTGATCTGATCCAATCCTCTGAACATAAGGCCAACTTCAAATTCACATCCCATTGCTGTGAGCCTTGTCTAGTCAAACACTGACTATCTCCAAGAACGGAGATTTCACAAAAATTACCCACCAAGCACTTGGCAGGAATGTGATTATGCGGGTGACACAAAGCACTCTGTTTTGTCATCAAATGCAGCCTCACTGTCTCTTATTCTGTTGGGATTATCTGAGGATTTCTGTTTTTCTGAACAGAACTCTCTCAAGGAGATGCAAGTTCTCTGGGTTCTGAGGTTAAAACTAGAGTGAATGGAAGGTGTTTTTCCAGCAGCTTTCCTGGACTGGTATGGTCAGAATTCCTATCCATTCTTAAATGGCTTTTCTTTCATCTGGAGTGTCTTTTGAAGAGTCCCTTCAAAAGGCAACTCAGCCCTGCTCCTCGTCTCCACTTGCCAACAGGCCAGCCAAAAGCTGCGGGTGGGGCAGGCCAGCCAGACTCATTGGTCTGCCTTGGGGGCCCTCGAGCTCTGAAAGCCACCACTATGACATTGCTGGAGAAGGGAACGCTCGCATGGGAAGCAAATTCCAAAGGCACTGCCATAGTGTGTAAGAAGGGGAATCTCCCCCTTATGTACCGTTTCAGGTGACAGATCACCTCATCATCTTGGAAGGACACAACAGTCCAGCAGGCACTGGACTCGGGAGCTTTGTCATCAGCTAAGAGGTGACGGGAGTGAAGTCGGTCTCCTTCCATTCCCTTGCCATTGTCCGTGCTCCCAGTTGAGGCAGCCTTTGGAGCAAGGCTATGAGAAGTACCGACACACATGTATCTATTCTTCGGTGCCCTCACACTAATGTATCTGAAAACAGAGGAGACAGTTGCACTTCTGCCAGGATTTGAACTGGTTCCCATTCAGAATTCGCTTACAGTTCACCTTCCCTCGGTCAGCACTCTGGGACCAGTGACACAGATTAAGACCACAAAAGCTCTTACAGGGGTCTAGCTAAACTGATTCACAGCCGAACCAGAACTCTCCAGCCAAGCCTGATCTGTACCAGGCACGTACCAGGTGTTGCCTACGGGGCCCTGATCTCCATGGGGAACTGAATGAAACCATCACAAGCTGATTCAAATGCGCTTTGAGGGCATTCAGCCCCACGCTGGATAATCTTGATCCAAAGTGTGTTTTCACTCACTGCCTCCGAGCTGAAAACCTAAGTCCTTCCGTCCCTCTGCTCCAACTTCACGTGCCAAGAAGCCGTGGCTTCCCTGGCACAGATGCAGGCTGGGGGAACAAGTCTCTGTCAAGTGTGCTGGGAAAGAAACAGGCAGCAAAGTGAAATGCCAGCATATGCTGTGTATTACTGGGTGTAATGTGGTACACTCAAGCCTGTTACATTTCACGCAGTTTGCGCTGAGAGAGCCACATTTCAAATCTCTCTCGTTAGCAGCCACAAGAGTGCGGGTTGATTTCAGGCTGCTGGGCAATGATTTACATGAGAAGATACTCAACAAGCCTTTTCTACATAAGCAATTACAGGAAAAAGCTGCTGTCTTGGCCCAATTAATTTTGTCTCTGGAAACCAGCACTGAATAAATTAATATAGCCAGGATTAGAAAAGAGGGAGGGTGACAAAGACACAGTGTAGTATCTGCAAACTTCACTTCGCTGGCTGTGACCTGCAGGAAATCTGTCCATGGGTTTCTTCTAATCCTGTCAGCCAAGACGAGAAGGTTGTGTGCCCAGTGAGGAATGATCCCTGGGAGGAAAATAGAGAAGAATCTCTCTTGAAAAACTCCCTTCCAAATCAAAATGAGCTGAAATCCTACCAGAGGATTCAACCACTGTTGAATGTGGTTGACCAACTCAACTCAACCACTGTTTCACAACTGCAGTCACTTTCCAAAATGAAGCTCCTTAAGGCCACCCTAAGGAAAGGAACATGGTCTCTGGGGAAAAGTGTTTACCTTCTGCCCACTGACTTTCAGAGTATTCCTAACATCAGCTCATTGTCCTCCTGCTTTATCTCCCGAATTATTCTGGTCAGAGGCAGACTCTACCATCATGTCCAGTGGTACCCTCATGACTGAAGACCATCTTTATGTATGGAGTGCTTTTCATCTGAGGGGACCTCAGAGCAGAGTCACACAGACTGGAAGACTGAACCCGTCTCCCAGGGTGAAATCAGCCAGCACTGAACAAAAATGCATAAATTCACAGGCAGCAGCAGCAGAGTGCTGCCAGGCAGCAACTGATGAAATCAATGTTCTCCCACGCTGGAATTTAATATTGGCATCCTAGCATTTCTTATGAACTGCTCTAGAGTGTCTCAGTGCCTGTCTACCTTAACAAAACGCTTAAGCAGGCACTTCTGGCATTGCTGTCATCAAGTTGCAACATTAGTTTAGCACGATGAACACCACTCTCCCAAGCAAACTGTTGGCATCAAGTTCCACCGCATCCCAGCACAAGCCAGCCACACCCAGATTATAATGTAGAAAACTGCCATTTAGCATTGCAATGTATTGCCAAAAAGACAAAAAAGCAGCGGCGAAAAGTCTTTCAGCAAGTACTTCATTAATTGCAACTACCCCAGGGTCCCCCCCTAGGGCCTGGCACAGTGGGAAAGGCAGGAGAGCTGACAAAGCAGTAGGCAAGGATGAGGTGGCAGAGAAAGGTGTGTCCTCTCTGGCTCCAGCGGGTAGGGATAGGGAGGGGAAGGCAGGGCATGCTCCCAAGGAAGGAAAGCCATGTTGAAAACGCAGAACAGGAGAAAGACAAGCTCCTGGAAGCTTTGCACGCAAGGATTAGTGTGAGGAAGGCTTCCATCCTTCGTTATACTCACATTTGCATTTCTGCTCCTTCCAGCAGGTACTGGAGCAGAACTAGCCCTGGCTAAGCGGAGGGGCACTACCTGGGGAACAGGAATGGAGCAACCTGCCAATCAGACAACGTTGTAAGATAAAATTCAGCCCAAACAGAAGAGACGGACGTTCTCTTGGGCCGTAAGCTAACCACTGCCATATGCAAGGGCTCCTTGCAGATAAATGACCTACCACACGCACCTGCCTACTTCATGGAGCACTGGTCTACTTGTCACCATCCCCACCGTGGCCAGAGTTAGAGCCAGGCCCTTCCAAGTTTGCCCTCAAGCAGGTGCTGGCTTTCTCCGTTGCCTAAATTTGGCACAATTAACCAAGAGAAGACCCAATCCTGCCCTGCAACACCACAGTCTCCCTTCTGCAGCTGGAAACCTTCTCCCAGAACGGGGAATCCAAGAAAGACAGCCCTTGTTTGAACGGATTAAAACATGCAGAAGCAGCACCGTTCTTGACATGGATCTACTGCGACCATTCAAACAGTCGACAAACCCCACGGTCCATCTGAAGACCGCTCCGGAGACCTCCTGCTCCATCCGATCCCACTGTCCACCCTCCCTGCCCAGCCCGTGTACGTGGTGCAGTCCTGCGGGTCGGCGGACTTGAGCCCCCTCTCCATCTGCTGGAGCAGCTCCCTGATTTTGTTATTCAGCCGCTGAGTGAATTCGGGGCTCAGCTGGGGAGAGAAGGGAAAAAAAAAACACCAAAAACCCTAAACAACCTGAAACATGAGGGAAACACCAGGAAGGCAGAGGGGGTCTTGGTAAGCTGGAGATACCCGGTGGGAGCACAAGGGAACCGGGTGTTTTTTTTTAATTTTAACCTGACAT